GTGCTCTTGGGTTGACTATAGGTATAGGTATGCGTAATAGCAACAACAACAATAATATTTCTCATTTTAAGAAACTTGAACAATAAAGAAAGCAAACGATTTTGCTTTGCAGTTCGCTCACTTTGAAGAATTTCGTTCATCTTCCTATTTTCAGTATTTCCGGAGGTATTTCCCCATAGCACAAAAGATCCTCAGTATGTCCAATTTAAGTCGCAATATCCCGGGACAACTTAGGATGCCCTGAGGATGTTGATTCTCAGATGTTCTGAGAAGATCGTAATTTAACATTCTGAGGATGTCTTATTAAAGTCGCTATGTCCCGGGATATGAGAGGATGTCCTGAAGATGTTGATTCTCGGATGTCCTGAGGACTTCACCAATGTCACATCCTGAGGACATTCTTTCTGCATTGTCCGGAGGACTTCCGTTGTCAAATATTCTGAGGATATTTGTTCTCAAATTTACCAGTTTTAATTTTTTGAAATTGCACATTATTTAATTTTCATATGTATTTTACTAAAATGTTTCTAAATGCCGTACATTAAAAATATTGACTTATTTGAGTAGAAACGTTTCGAAACGTTTCTACTCAACTAAGGATATACTTTCTCAGACGCACTGCATGCCCGAGTTTGTCGGCAACAGTGACATCGCGGGAGTAATATGTATAACTTAACGTTTTATGGCATCTCTCAATTCCGACAAATCTCGTGGATTCGATGCGTGCACCCTATATTTCAAGTAACTCCACAATCAGAAACAAGGTCAGAGGATCGCCGTGGCCACGAAACTGCAACGCTACCTTTCCTCTCTCGTGTTGTCATTCATCCTTTAAAATGCTCTTCTTTGGAAATGTTTCACGCCGGCAGCTTTCGTGATACGTGTATCATTCCAACGCCATTTATGGCTTTTAACGCACCGGTCAATTTGCGCAGGAAAACAGTGGGGGTTTCCATTCGAAATTTTTGAAATTTTTTTCCTAGTAACGGTAATCCTGAGAGCTCTATTATTTTGAATCGTCCCAATTTCGAGCGCATACCTTTTTGAAAATGGTTGGCATGCCTTCGTGGGGTAATGGTCAACACGATCGGCGCTTATTCGAGTGATTCGAGTCCCGGCGATGGCATTGCTAATTTTTCATCTCTCCTGCTTCAAAATAACTTAATGTCTCTACAAATATAAAAATTAACTTTAGACAAGCAGTTAAAAAGTGCGAAAATGAACGACAGTTTGAGATTTAGCACTGACTCTATTTTCTAGTTTGTTCTAATGTAATTAATAAATCACTAATTAAGATATCTGAATTATCAATTCATTTAATCTTTAATAATAGTCTGTGACCATTACATTAGTACGAGACGTATAATGACCACTCTAGAGAATATTTCATTAGCACTAGATGAACTAAGAAATGAATATAGCCTGATTTAGTAAATTATAATGAATTCTGAAAATTTTATCTGGTAAATGTAGTTACATACTTAGCGAAACATGGACTAGCATGATTGAGAATTCAGTGTTTGCGCGTTATATCTGTATATACATAAAATCTTTTCTTGTCTGAAAGTATTACTTACTTTCAGAATTCAAGTGTAAGCTGTATTTTTTAAGTTTTATTTTATTTTATTGTAAATTTTTATCAGATGATATTTGTTGCATTATTCGTCACTTACCTGTTTAATTAATTAATGATTTCATAAATATAAAGATATTAAATAAACCGTTACTGAGCTTATAACTTCAAGAGTTTTCTTTAATCAATATCATGAGCTTTAAATCTGTTATTCAAATCAGTAATTACCGTCAATGGTACTCGTTTGTCCAAAGAGGACTGCGCGCACAGAAGACCAACAACCGTGCTAAATCGTGCGTGGTCGCTTTATACTGAGTTTACTTATAAGGTATTGTTACGAAATGTAAAAGCGCGGTGAGATGAGATGGTTTCCCGCAAAGCAGTTTTAGGTTTGCCATAAAATGGCAAAGGAGGGCAGGGTTGCCACATTTAGAGAGAAATCGCCCATTTGGCGACAAAATTGGCGATATACCATGGACGGTTGGAGAACCTTTTGGAATGAATTCTTACCGGTTTAGCCCAGAATGTTCCCGAACACAAGCCGAAAGCTATATAACCCTGCTGGTTCGCAGGCAGTCAGAGTGCGTTTCTCATCGAGTGAGTGTGTCTCGTTTAACGAGTCAATCGCTGCGGAAGCGATCGCATTGATAGCCGCCAGCGAGTGCCGAGTGGGTCGTCGAATGCACCGAGAGAGTCTCGTAGAGTATCGCGGTTAGTGGATCGTCGAGAGAGCGTGTTGAGCTCCGGAAATGACTGAACCGAAGAGTTCGGAGCTGTGCTCTGTGTGTCTTCGAGTGCATCGCGAGTTGTAGCGTGGAGAGTCTCGAGAGTACGGGGAGTTCCGAGAACTACCAAGCAGAGTCGGAAGCTGTACTCCGGAAAGCAGAGTCGGGTGCTTTGCAGGAAGCTGTCTCCACCGTTATTGCCTGACAGTGTGAAGGCTGTGTCGCTGATTGTTCCAGAGTGTTTCTAGTAGATCTTCGACGACTGTAAAAGTGTTTTGGAGCTGTCCTTAGAATATTGGTAAATAAAGTGTGTTTCGATACTTCATCAAGTGTCGTCGTTATTCACTCTAAATCTACGAACCCCGTACGAACCTAAAGGAAGAAAATAACGTAACAACTGGTGTCAGAAGAAAAGGAAATGGAAACGCAACAGTATTTATCCCGCCTTCGTAGTGTAGTGGTCTGCTCGCTGGGCGCGTATTCCATAGGTCCGTGGTTCGATTCCCGACGAAGGTGTTGCTCATTTTTCATCTTTCCTGCCTTTAAAGAATACGTAATGTCTCTACACTACTGCGTTTGGCTATGCAGTGCTTTTTGCGTCTTTCCAAAATTTCAAAGCGCTGCCATGTTTTGTCAGAAAACTCACCTGATTGTCATTTTTGAAAATTATTCACAAGTATTTAGTAACTCATTTTATCTGATTTCATTTTTATATAATGCTTAAAATGCATTCTTTTTTTACCCAAAGGAGTTTGAAATATAACCCTGAAATTCTTTTTGAATTGTCGAATTCTATTATGTACACGTTTTCTTGTCTTCGCTGACAAAATCTCTTCACTTGTTCAAACTTTTCTAAATTTAGAATTTTCTTGCTTTCCTTACAAATAAATGAAAAATTATGGATTCGTCTAGATATCATTTTGTTCTTCGTGAAAGTGTAAGTACCTCTAGACATCTTTCCTCAGTATTGATCCATTCTGTGGCTCCTATGTTGTCGTAGAAAGAGAAGCGATAGGTTGAGGCAAATCCTTAGCTAATTATACTTTAAAGAGTTGTCTTGCTGGAATAGAGGAAATTCTTTTCCGGGTGACCTAAATGGTTCCCTTGTGCCCACTCTCAGCGCACGCAAACTAAATGTAAGAAGTAGTTTGGCGAAAATAAACCGCCCTCACGTGATGTAGCAAAAGCATTAAAACGGACTGCATAGCGTCCAATAATTTGATTTAAGGCCTTGCGGAGGAATTTGCTGTAACCGTGTCTCCGTCGCCTCGAAAATTTAGTGCACGTGAAACCCTCAGCATTTTAATTAAACTTTCATTCATAATTTTGCGATTTAACTTGTGGTCGGATATGCTAAATAAAACACTAGAATATAGAGAACTCGTGTTAACCGGATTACTTGTTCTTCTTCCTAGAACCTGAATAAAAGTACACTGCATAAAAAAGGGAGGGCAGTTCTATATCTCCCGTTCTACTGGGCCAATTGACGAAAGTCAAATTGCATTTTTCATGTCTCGAAAGCGCGGTTTATGGCATTTATTAGATTTATGTATACCGTTGTTCTAATAGAGGTATTTTGACACAAAATCGGGCTTTTTTCTGAAATGACAAGCCAATTTAGATTCTATGACTCAAGTTATGCCTATTATTAAATTTTTTTTTAATTTGGTGCGAAATTTACGGAGAAGTTCAAACATTTATCTTGGCGAACTTCTTAATATATGGCAACCTATATTTTCCTTTCCCTTTTTACATTGTGCATGACCGGGAAAAAAAGCCACATCGTTCTACTTTCAAATAGTTTTAACAAAGTGCCTAAAGCGCGTTTGATGTTACTATCGCTTTCAACAAATATGTCAAATTTCGAAACGCGATATAAAAATTGCTAAACATAACTGAATGGATGCCTGCATCGCTATTTCGATGAATGATGCCTTTTCTTTGAAAATATTCAGAATCGGAATTCAGAAAGTGCAGAATCGCTCACTTATTTGTTTGCCGCTTTTTACAAGGGTAAAAACAATTGGATTTTTGTCAATTTTCTTTTACTTTTTAAGTGAAAATAAGTCGATGTGTACATAGATAAAGTCAAGGGTGTGCGCAGTGCCATTTTTGTGCAATTCTGGGATTTTTATTAAGTGAAAATAGGTCGATGTGCACATGGATACCGAGTACGTGCAATTCTTAAAAACGCGTCAAGCAGTGGGTGATTCTGCACTTAACCCAAAATTCTATTGCCGACGTTTCGTCATGGGCAATTCCCAAATTGTTAAATCCAAAGGATATCAAAAAAGGATTTAAAATTAAAAAAGATTTAAAAATTAAACTAATATATCAATGGCGTCTTAAGAAATATAGAACTATATAAACTTACGCAATCTGAAATCAACGCGTATGCTAGATTCGCTGTTAAATGGGCGCGTTTACTAGATTTGGCGCTTTTGCGCATACATTTTCGCTGCAATTTTTTTACGGCCCTCAAAACGGAATAGTACCGAATTGGATAACTGGTTTTCCTTTAGCATCGATAGTGTTGTTGTATCAATTATTATAACGAGAGTAAATTATAATATCCATTTCATAACTGCTGCTCAGTTTCAAATTTTATCTAAATATATTTCTAATATCAAATGGTATATTACTTTAATATCTCTGATCACTAGTATATTATTTTAATATCGCTGATCTTAATGTGATTGTAGTGTCTGGCATCGAATGCTTCCAGTGCAACTCGACTTACACGCTGGATTGTCTGGAGAAATTCATCCAGCCCAACTTTCTGAAATCCCAACCCTGCTCCGATGTTTTCGAGGCTCGCTACTGCATCAAAACCACTGGCATCTACCAAAGTAAGTTAGCTTTAGAAGAGGCTAATAAAGGCCTATCGTACTTTTTAATATAATACCTCCATTCATATAAATAATTTTTCCATTGAAAAAATGAAAAAATTATTTGATGAAACTGCTCTAATACTAAGTGATTGGCAAAAGAAAGAAAAATTACAATATTGAAAAAAACATGTGCATTGTTTTTTCCCAGAGGAGGTAAAAACTAGAACCACCAAATTTGAAATATCAAGGCAAAAGATCAAATTTGTAGATAATATGAAATATCTTGGCGTTTATGATTGATAACAATTAAATTTTATAGAACATTTTAAATTGGTACAAAAACGAACTGATCTGATTTTATTAAATTATAGAAGAACCTTTTTCAGCTGAGATTTTAGCCTTGAAATCCTCCATTCTGAAGATTTACTTAAATGTAGTGCTTCCAATCATCATGTATGGAATTGGAGCCTGGGGATCCAGGGCAGGGGAACTGGTTAGATTACGGATGAAGTTAGACAGTATTCAGAGAGCTTGGGGTTTAGCTTTAACCCGATGTTTTAGAATGGTGCCTACCTAGGCCGTCTTTGTGTTGGCTGGGCTGCCTCCTCTCTCAATTTTATATGAATTTTATTATGAGAAATTTTTATTTAGAACTAGACGAATGGAATTGAAAATGTATGAAGATTATTTAATTACAAAGAATGTTTTTGAAAAATTTAATATTCATTTAATGCATCCTTCCAATAGATTTGGTTTTGTTTTTGATAAAAGTAATCCAACTGTTGATGTGTTTGATATTTATACAGATAGTTCTGGGGTCGGAGGGAGCGTAGGAGGTGCCTTTGTTGTTTTTTACTATGGAAATGAGGTGGATTATAGAATGTTTAAGTTCAACATATATAATTCAGTTTTCCAGGCAGAAAGTGAAGCGTTCAAACAAGCCTTATTATGATTAAAAAATACCGTTTTTATACCCACGTCTGTAAATATTTACACTGACTGCCTGTCCTTCTTCTCCCGCCCAGCAGTTTCAATCCATTAATTGTCGAAAGAATGAGAGTCATTTTAGAAACTTTGAGTCATATTTAAATATTTAGCTACATTGGGTTTAAAGCCCTTATAGGCTTTATTGGTAATGAGAGGGCCGACAGCCTGGTCGAGCAGGCGGTCTCAAATGTCAGTGCAATGGATATTGAAGTAACAGGTTCGAAGAGAATTGCAGTTCGAAATGAAAACATTTTCGTTAACAAATGGAAAATACAGTGGTTTTCTTCACCTAAAAACAAAGGATTTATGGAAGTAATTAAAATCACAAATAAAATGAAATGCATAAACAGTATTGATGTTAATCAGGTTTTAACTGGACATGGTAGGTTTCCGTTCCATTCAACGATTTAATCTGCAGGAAAATAAATTATGTAATAGTTATCAGGTTTGATGGTGATGCTAGGCATTTCGTGGTTGATTGTAGTTTAGCAGCCCCTATTAGACAGATTTTTAACATTAATTAGATTAATTATTAGACTATTAAACTGATTATTATGCAAGTTATTGATTTTATTAGACCTATTAGACTGATTTTAATGCAAGTGTCATTAATTTAAAAGTTTTTAAATCATATTCTATTGCTGTAATGGAGTTTATAAATGAGAATAGGGCGCTGGTAGGAATCTCCTGTTAAAATTGAATTTTGTATTTGTGTGGGTTTTGGATATCTGTGGTGTTTTAAAGTTGTGATTTGTGTTTATGGTTTTTTTTTTTTTTTTTTTTTTTTTTTTTTTTTTTTTTGTGTGCTTACTTATTTTTTTTAGTATTACTTATTTTGTTTGTTTGTTGGTCTGTAATTTTGTGTTAGATGTTCTTACTTATTTTTGATTTAGTATTACGTATTTTGTTTGTTTGTTGGTGTGTAATTTTGTGTTAGATGTTCTTACTTATTTTTGATTTAGTATTACTTATTTTGTTTGTTTGTTGGTGTGTAATTTTGTGTTAGATGTGCTTACTTATTTTTGATTTAGTATTACGTATTTTGTTTGTTTGTTGGTGTGTAATTTTGTGTTAGATGTGCTTACTTATATTTGATTTAGTATTACTTATTTTGTTTGTTTGTTTGTGTGTACTTTTGTGTTAGATGTTCTTACTTATTTTTGATTTAGTATTACTTATTTTGTTTGTTTGTTGGTGTGTAATTTTGTGTTAGATGTTCTTACTTATTTTTGATTTAGTATTACTTATTTAGTTTGTTTGTTGGTGTATTTTATGTTAGATGTTCTTACTTATTTTTGATTTAGTATTACTTATTTTGTTTGTTGTTTGGGGGTGGCTGGGTTACTGGCTGCCCTCGTTTGTGGAGCTACGGGGCCCCTTCTTTTGAGCTATGGGGACACTAGTGTCCAGGTGGGCTGAAGGGAGCCTCCAATTCTTACAATTCTTACCTCCATTCATATATCCATATGGTGCTGACCCCTTGATTGATGTTTCGCTTGTAAGAGGAAGGTAGGTATATTTTAATTTTATAATAGTTATTTTAATTTAATTGTGCTTTCCTGCCTTGCCTCGTTTCCGCTTACAACTCCTTACCAGAATGAGATTTTAGAATCGCGTTGAATGCAATTCTAAAGAAGAAGTATTTAAAGAAGATTCAATTTACTTTGTGAAAGAGAGCTGGGAATCCTGAGTAGTGCGTGTTTTCCCCTTCGGGCTAAGTCTCACTAGAAGCTCGGCCGTATATTACGTGCCCTTTTTATAGTCGCCGGCTAGTTTAAAGTTAAAGGCCAACTACGTTAAATTTGTGTTAGCTTCTAGCAAGTCTTTTAGTTAGTGATAGTTAGTTCTTATTTTTGCGCTTAAGCCCGAGTGAAGACTTTGTTGTGAAACAGATAAAAAAAAAAGAAAAATTTGAAATTCTAAATCCGGTCTTCCAGGTGCCCATGATCGGGTGGAGGATTACATTATTCAAAATGTGATGGCTCTAGGCTTCGTCGTTTTTTCACAATCCAAGAAGCATACCTACATTCATGCACATTCTCATTTACATATTTGCATCTCATTCATGCATATTCTCATTTTTTTATTATTTCCTTGTACGAAGTAAAAAGGAAGTATTGTAATCGCGAAAAGTTTCAGACAGCATATTTCAACGAAAATATCCATTTTGACCGCTGTCGAATGCAATTTAACGATGTTTTTACGTGACATCTGTACGTAAGGACAGATAAAGATTCTTTCCTCCAAGAAATTACAAAACTGCTTTAAAATTAATTCTGATGAGAATTTTTCGTGGTGTCTGTACGTACGTATGTATCTCGCATCCCTCAAAAACGAGTAGCCTCAGAACGATGTAATTTTCTGTACGTAAGGACAGAATAAAAGATTCTTTTCCTCCACGAAAATTACAAAACTGCTTTAAAATTAATTCTGATGAGAATTTTTCGTGGTGTCTGTACGTACGTATGTATCTCGCATCCCTCAAAAACGAGTAGCCTCAGAACGATGTAATTTTCTGTACGTAAGGACAGAATAAAAGATTCTTTTCCTCCAAGAAAATTACAAAACTGCTTTAAAATTAATTCTGATGAGAATTTTTCGTGGTGTCTGTACGTACGTATGTATCTCCATCCTCAAAAACGAGTAGCCTCAAACGATGTAATTTGTATAGGACTGGTATAACATGTAGATGTTCACCTCGTATTTTGGTTACATCAGCCGCACCAAACGTAATAAATATATTTATATATATATCCCTCTGTTACTGGGTCAGTGATCTCAGTTCCTTTACTCTTATATAATTGTAAACTGTGCATTTTTGCTTTAAAAACGATTGAATTGTATTGTTCTTATCTTCCGGTTAAGAGTTTTATGCCTTTAGAAAATCCGCAAGCAATATTTTTAGAATTATAAACAATTTAAAAGCTCTTTAAGTGCAGTTCAGCCTAATTTTTAAATAACATGGCGAACATATTTGTTTATCATTTGAACACAGAATAGTAGATTTGTTTCAATCTACAGAGACTAAGCTTCGCAACAACAAAGATACGCCTTCATTTATTTGCGAATAAATTATCTTAATCCTTTCTGGAATTTTTCGAGGAATAAGTGTTTAAAATTTTTCAAAATTTTTAATATAGATATTTGAGTTTTCAGATTTATTATAGTTAGTATTTGAATAGAACATGGGGCAATGAGTAGATAATTCTTCAAATGATATAAATTTTGTGCATTCTGAGTTATAATGTGAACGAAATATAACGCCGTTAAGTGAACCTGTCGCTTTGGTAAACAAATAGAGTGAATTTTAAAGAGTGCATTTATTCTCTTGTGGTTTATGCGCTATCGGCGAAGTAGATTTAATTCAAGCCAATAAGTTTAAACGAAATTCAAGAAAAAATGCGCATAATTTAATATTCCGTACAAGGAAGTCATGTGGTGTAACATCAGATTTTTAAAAATAGTACAGGACGGTAACATAGTGATTCAACGCAAAATCTCGTTTCGAATCTAACGGCCCTTCTGAGCTAACGGTCCTTTGGGCTAAAAATGTTTCTATTTATAACCAAGGTTAAAATAACATTTTTAAAAAATAAAACATGGCGTAAATAGTCACACGAATATGTTGTTAACTAAACGGCTACCGGTATATAATGTAATTTATTTTTCATTAACGTTTACGTGCTGCATATTAATCAAATATTGCCCAACAATAACTTCTTAAATAGTGTATTGAATTTTTTTGTACATTATTTAAACCAATCAAAAGTTAAATTATTAAAATACATAAATTTAGAACCTTAATTTTATTTGGTCTATAAAAATCCAGATAATTGAGTTCAGGCCCCGTGAATTTGATTAAAAAAATTTTACATCTGAGAGATAAACGGAGATGACTGATTGTAAGATTAATTATGGAATGGAAGTTGCAAACGGAAAAAGAATTGTAGGGTTCATATTATTTCAGTTAACCAGTTATGATGATTTTGACCTTTACTATAACCTCTCCTTTTCTGTTTCCTCACCAGAAGAAGGAAAAAAAAAAAAAAAAGAGGGATAGTTTTACATCTACCGTTCTACTAGGCCTATTGACGAAATTCAACTTGCGTTTTTTATGTCTCGAAAGCGCGACTTAGGATATGTATTAGATTTATATATAGTACTGTTCTAACATAGGTATTTTGACACAAAATAGGACTTTTTCTGAAATGACATGGCAATTTTTTTCCATATTTCGATTCTACGACTCAAATTACTCCAAACTAAAGTTTTGTAAAAATCACACGAGTAGTTTTTAAAAAATTGGTTGTGAAAATTTTAGCTTCTCAGTGTTAATTCAATTTGGTATGTATTCATTAATATCTCCTATTTAATTAAACTTATTTGATTCCTTCTTACCCAGTCCCAAATTTAGATTCATTCCAAATAAAATTCTCCTATTTTTTAAGATTTGTTTTTTAAATTTGTACTTTTAAATAATTTTTCTATATTTTTTGAAAAACATTTTGAATTGTAACCTATAACATTTTTACAATCATCTTAAAGTAGATGTATTTCTAAGCATACCTTCAAAAAATTAGAACTTTTTATTCAAAATTTCCGAAGATATACGTGAATTTATATATTGGCGCATTTTAAAATTTCGCATATTTGTTAAAAGCGATAATAACGCAAATACGGTTTACGCATTTTGTTAAAATTATTTGGAAGTAGGAACGAAGTGACTTTTTTCCGCTACTACAATGTCAAGATAGGACGTGGCCTTTTTTTCTATCCGGCATATTGGAGGTAAAGGCAAAAGTTGCCATATATAAGAATTCGCCAAGTGAATTATTTTGGTGCAAACTGAAAAAATGCGCCAATATAAATTTTTGAATTTCTCAGCAAATTTACTAATATCTAGGCATAATTGAGTTGGAATTCGAAATTGGAAAAAAAATTGTATGTATTTCGTAAAAAAGTCCGATTTTATATCAAAATACCTAGGTTAAAAAAATGCTATATATAAATCTAATATATATCCTAAGTCGCGCTTTCGAGACATGAAAAACGCACTTTGAATTTTGTCAATCGGCCCAGTACAACGGGAGATACAGAACTGTCCTTCTTCCACCACCCCCCCGCAGTGTACATCGTAATATAATTTTTACTTTTTAAAAGCAATTTTTGATCATATTTGTGGTCACTTGATAAGGCCTTTCTCCCGCCTTCTTAGCATGCGTTCGTGGTGTAATGGTCAGCACGCTCGGCGCATATTCGAGAGGTTCGAGTCCCGGCGAGGGGCACTGCACATTTTTCATATCTCCCGCTTTCAAATAACCTAATTTCTCTACAACTTCTTTTTGTGAGAATAAATGTTGTGATTTTATTTTCTCTCTTCAGAAATTGGGAATCGCCAATTATGGAGAATAAAAATTTTGAATTACTTTCTAAATTCTTAAGCTTTTGATTATAAAATGAATTAATTTAATTTCTTGGTAATTTCAGGTGAGGTCGGCACCCAGCGTTTCTGCTCGTCTCGTGACCTAGGCAATTACTGTGAATCCATTCATCATGAAGGGGATAACCGAGAATACAGATCTTGTGTCTATACCTGTTCTACGGATGCCTGCAACGCCGCTGTGTCTGTGGGCTTATTTCCGCACCTGTTGCCAAAGCTCGCTATCATAATTGGTACTGTCGGTGGCTTCATCGCGAAGTTTCAAATATTTCAACTACTACAGATGTAACTGCCTGTTGTTACTAATTATAATATCTGGTGTCTCCCTTTTTCCGCGATTCCTGTTTCCGCGGTTGTCAAAAACGTTCCTGTTTCCATGAAATCATCAGTCTTCATTAACCCCCTTCCTAAAGGGGTTACAGAGTGGGGGCCCGAGGGGAGCTTGGTCTCGCCGGAAAGCAAAAAAAAAATTTAGATTTAAAAAAAAATAATTTTTAAAAGAAATAATTGAAAAATATTTACGACCTCAGATCTTTGCATGAATACTGTATTTAAGGGGGCTCATACACCTTAAACCCCTTATGATCTTCGAATATGGGACCGTTGCAAGAATTTGGATATTTTATTTATTTTATAAGCAATGACTTCCAACTTTTTACAGCTGACTACATAATATAGCTGCTTCGGGAAT